GTCCTCGAGGCCGCCGGCGCCGTTTCCATGTCCTCCCTAGGGGAGGGCTATGGACCTGCTGCGGCCATGTCCGCCTGTTCTCTGCCGGGGCTGCGTGCTCGTGGCGGACTAGTTACTCACCAGATTGGAGAGACAAAGATTGAGACTGCATCTTTCATACGGAGGAAGGAGTCTGATGGAGCTACGAACCCCAACCCCTCCGTCAAGCACTTGGAGTTGGAGGCCCCGTCCTGCCCATACCTAAAGGGATGGAGGCCCGCTGCTGCAATCCACGTCAAATCCCGAGAACCACCTGATCGAGGTCGTTCTACCAGTCGACGATCTCCCCTTCAAACAAGCCTGGCCGCGATGACGTCGCCCGAGCTGCCGTCTGCTAGCGTGCTAGAGAATGCCAAGGTGAACCCGGAAGTTGGTGGGGGCGAAAAAGGGGCTCCCATAGCGGCCGCCGCCCGCCTGAAGCCTTCTAAGGGGGAAACTGCGGCCATGCCAGCGGCGAGCCCTAATGCCCCGGCGATCGTCTTTGCTACACAGGGAGAAGAAAAGACCACGGAGGTGGCCGATGATGCATATGATGTATGCCTGGGCATGCAGATAAATCCAGGAGCACATGACAAAAGGAAAGCTCCTGATCTTTCAGTTACGGAGTGGAAGGATACACAGGGCACGGCCATGGTGCTGCACACCAATGCGAACAAGGAAGACAGGAGGGCCGAAGGGACGCCGAAGAAGCCAAAGCTCAAGGGTACAAGCGATGCAGATGCGGTACCTATGGTGACGGAGGAGATGGGATCGAACAACATGGAGGCAACCGGCTCAGGGGCCGCCGGTAAACTGACGGGGTCGCAAGAGACGCCCCGTCAGGAGCAATGAATTGTATAAGCTGGAACTGTCGGGGGGTGGCCAACAAACCGACAGTTCGCGAACTTGTTGGCATGGTAAAAGCTACAAAATCAAAGTTAGTTTTCTTGTGTGAGACTAGACAAAGTTCGGAAAAAGTTAAACGTCTGTGTGGTAGGTTAGGATTAAGAGGTTTTTCTGGAGTTAGCAGTGATGGTTTGAGTGGAGGGCTGGCCCTCTTTTGGTGCGAAAGTTTGCATGTGGAAGTTCAATCTGCTAGTGAAAGATATATTGATGCGCATGTGCGACTCTCCGAGCATGACCCTCTGTGGCGGCTGACTTGTGTGTATGGGGAACCACGTGTGGAAAATAGACACCGCATGTGGACACAAATGAGAACTCTGAAACAATCATCTGATTTGCCATGGTGTGTTATAGGTAACTTCAACGAAGCTATGTGGTCGTTTGAACATTTCTCGCTTACACCACGCAATGAAGGGCAGATGTTGGCATTCCGTGATATGCTGGAGGTCTGTGAGCTTGTTGATCTTGGTTTCTCTGGCTTACCGTTTACATATGATAATAAACAACATGGGAGGAAAAATGTGCGTGTAAGGCTTGATCGTGCAGTGGCGGACAACAAGTGGCGTGACATCTTTTCTGAAGCGCGGG